AAATATTTTGTAACATTATAAATGTTTTTACTGTCACTTTTGATCAGTTTAACGTGTCCTTGATGAGTAAAAGTGCAAATTTCTTTCAAAAGCATAACATTTTAATTACGCTAAACTTTTGAACTGCAGTGTACATCTGCCTGATATAAATATTTCCAACAATATATCGAAATGGCATGTAGATTTGTAGTTATGAATAAAACATAATAAATATGGCAGCTTCCCGCTGTAGTCCCTACTTCATAAACCTGCTTTATATTGAATATGGCAGTGCTGCGTGACGGCATTAAGCCGTGCTCCACACGAGTTGTGCATGTGGTTTTCATGAAAAGGAAGAATGCTTGATTGGGAGAAGTGTCCTGTGTCTCAGTGAGTGTGTGGCCGCAGGGTTTGATCGAGGCTTGACGTCTGATCGCAGCAGGCAGCGAGAGCAAAGCTCAGGGCCAAAGGTGCAGGTGTTCAGCCTCCAGAAAGGCCAGCGGAGCCCGGGGCCCGTGTGTCTGTTCCCGATACTGATCTGACGGTCCTGAGCTCTCGAGTCCCGCTGAAGTTCACGTCTTCAGGAACCGCTTGCTGCCTCGGCTCTTTTGGCAGAGTTCACATCGCTGCGACCGCATGCCAGCTCGCCAAAGGCAAAGAAAGGGCTTTTCCAGGATAAAGCCAAGGCTTGAATTACATGGAAACATCTGAAGAGTATTTCTAACCGTAACGTTCAAGACGCAGTCATCTTATGCAGCCACACTAGTCTTCACAGCACAGTTAGCCAAACCTCAGCTCTCTAAAAGACTTGCATATTTGTGAACTGTAAATCTATGATAAAGTGATAAATAATGACTAAATGCTGAAATAAAAAGGTTTCAGCCGTGCACTGTGGCTCATGTTTACGCTTCAGACTGATGCAAAATTGTCTATTTAGTGGCAAAAGTGAAAAAGTGCGCTCAGACTAGCCAACACAATCTCACAGAAAAACAGAACTATTTTATGAGGTGGGTTTGTAATGAATGTGGACGATTGTTCAAAAAAGTAAGCATGAAGATCCAGTCTTAAACTTAACCATCACTGGGACGCAAGCAGAAGACATACGAATAAGATTGTACAAATCCATATGCCAAAACATGAAATAGTTATGGACTGCCATGAGATCGTGTTGGGCTCTTTTGTAATATTATTTTTCTTGTTACTGAAACACTGTTTGAAAACAGTATTGATTTCTCTTCATTAACCTATAAATACAGAAACTTGTTTCTGCCACAGGTAAAAAGCTTAAAAAGGTCATTGTAACATTTTATCTCACAATTCAGACTTTTTTCTCACAATTATGAAAAAAAAGAAATAAAAGTCTGAATTGTGAGACACAATTAGATTAGATTTTCTGTTATTTTTTCAGTTTAAATATATATTGTGAGATGTAAACTCAGAAATCAGAGAAAACTAAGTTAGAACTCACTTCAGACATTACTATAAGTGATTTTGCAACTACATATCAAATAACTAGAGTATTAGTAGACTAGGTCAGGGTCAGGGTCAGGGTTAGTAGAATACGTTAACATGTAGTTGCAAAGTTACCTAGAATGGTCATCAAAATACAGTGTAAGCAGATATTAAGCAGACGGTCACTAATACTCTAATGACTGCTAGTTGACATGTAGTTACTTATAGCTAGTAAAAGGTCTAAAGGAGACCATCAAAATAAAATATTATTATTATATAACTGAGATATCATTGTGGTTTTATTATTTAAAATTTGTTTTTGCTTTTGTATTTTACAATCGTCATTTTAATTTTAGTTATTAAAGTTTTAATCATTTTCCTGTGTGTTTTTGTTGATTTTATTAGTTTGTTATTTAGTTTTATTAATTTTAATTTCAGCTTTAGTTTGAGTTATGTTAGCACATCAAGTTAAACTAAGTGACAAAAGGACAGTTTTCTTGCTTCCAGCTAGATCAATATTGACGATCTAGAGTAAGAATGGAATGTCAGATGGACGAGTGTTTGTGTGAAGAGCGCTGCTCGGCTGATGTCCGAGCTCTGGGAGCCTAATGAGCTCCAGCGGCCCCGGAGCACAGCCGTCTGACAGACCATCGGCTCCTAATGCCACATCAGCTTCACCGCACATGCAGGAGCAGCCCTCTCCTCACCGTAGAACCAGGCGATGCCGACCGCCTCAATCAGCACTCCAAACAGAATCGATGTCCCGGCGGCGAAGTGGTCCAACAGCGTGAACACATAGATGCCCCCCTGCAGAGAGACAAAGACGAGACAGGATCAAGATCCCACACCAGACGCTCTTCATAATCAGATGGAAGCTCATTAGAGGAGCGCTTGTGTCTCACGTACGTTCGTGACACAGATGAGAGAGATGAGGAACGTGGAGACCACGATGAAGAGCGTGAAGAGCTCTCGATGTTTGTGCAGGAACTTGAATTCGTCGATGAGTCCCGTGATCACAGACTCCATCCCTCCCATCTGAAAAACAGCGTACAGCGCTGGCGTTCATCAGGACTGAGCGCACTGTACGTCAGCTTCCATTCACTGCAGCACTACAGCAGTAACCCCCACTCAGGTCCACTTTGACCCAGAAGAGATACATAACAATTTGTAAAAGAATAAATAATAATAATAATAAAATAAATGTAGTAAGGGTGATTTTGAACCTAGGTATGTATTGGAATATATATGGAGTGCCAGAAATATTTTGGCAAAATTATCTATAATTTTTCATTTTTAATCTAATATGTATTTATTATATATATATATATATATATATATATAATTTATTATTTAGTACTTTTTTTACTAGTACTTTAGTACTTTACTTTCTTAAAATATATTGTGTTTTCCCCACATCTTACACAATTTTGGAACTTAATTTTTATTTATTTATTAATTCGTTCATTCGTTCATTCATTCATTCATCTGAAAGTGAAAGTTTATGCAAGTAAAATTAATGTATAGAGTAAATTAATTTATACAGAGAGTAATATTTATGTTGTTTTAATTGTTTACAATTTTTTTTTTTAAATTAATATGTAGGTTTCATACATTTTGACTGTTTTTGAGCAATCATGACCTAAATTCGAAGGAATTTCATTCAATTATGTTAATTCCAATGGGTTAATACTGATATATATTTTTTTATTATATGTTCTTATAAATTTCATAAAATTATATAATCAAATACCATTTCTCATCTTCTAACTTTCTGAAAACAATTGAAATTGAACATTTAGATTTTTTTGTTTTCTTTCAAATTATACACATACAAAAAAAAAAGATGCAATATATATATATATAATTTGCATTATGTGTGTGTGTGTGTGTGTGTGGTTCATGTGTAAAAAGAAATTTCAAACTATTTCTTAATTTACAAAAATAACATGGTAATAACATGGTAACATTCAAAACTGAATTTGTTATTCACATTCACTCACTAATGAGAAGATACTGATCAGATACAATATAGTTTTAAATGAAAAATATTAAGTTATGACAGGTTCAATGATTCTTCAGGTCCAGATGGATCTGTAATGTGAAGAGTCTAGAGACTGCACACATCTGTACTGACAAACTCTCCTGTTTGAGATCAGATCAGACGAGATCCTGAGACTCACAGCGCTGTCGATTCCCAGAGTCAGCAGCATGATGAAGAAGATCACAGCCCACACTGATGAACCCGGCAGTGTAGCAATGGCTTCTGGGTAAATAATGAACACCAGACCAGGACCTGGAGACAAGCAAACAGCACAGCCTCAACACCTCCACATCATACACTGCGTTACAAACCGCAGAGAGCGGCTCTGAAGATACTGTATTAATATAGAATTTACTTGAATATCACAATCAATTCCAGTTATACACCAACATACTTTAAAAAAAAAATGCAATTACCAAAAAACATGCGTGCATCTGTTCATTCTTTGTGTGTGTATGTGTGTGTGTGTTTGAGTGAGTGTGTGTGTGTGTGTGTGTGTGTTTGAGTGAGTGAGTGTGTGTGTGTGTGTGTGTGTTTGAGTGAGTGAGTGTGTGTGTGTGTGTGTGTGT